TCATGGCGAAGACATGTCTATTGTACATTACGTCGTTTATAATGGGCCCACAAATGTTTAGGCGATTCGAAACCGTCACCCGAATTCATGAAGATGGCATGGACATTAGCACACGAAAAATTTAAAATCTTCCTCAATTCCTATTTTATGGCCCTAACATGTAAAAAAACAAGGAATAGTCATGGAAAATCCATAACAATTATTTATTAGATCGTTTTTGATGGGCACACAAAATTTTAGGGGATTCGGAATCCATCGCTCGAATTCATGAAGATGGCGTGGACAGTAGCACACAAAAAATGAAAGTCATGCAGAATTCATGTTTTATGGCCCTAAAATACAAAAAACTGAGCAATAGTCATGGCGAAGCAATGAGTATTATTCATTTGGTCGTTTCTGATGGGCCCATAAATTTTTGCGCAGTTCGAAGCCCATAACCTGAATTCATGAAGATGGCATGGACATTAGCACGCGAAAATTGGAAATCATCCTGAATTCCTTTTTTATGGCCTTAAAACGAGAAAAAATGAGGTTCGGTCATGGCGAAACAATGAATATTGCTCATTATGTTGTTTCTAATGGGACCATAAAATTTAAGCGATTTGGAACTCGTCGATCGGGTTCATGAAGATGCCATGCACTAATATCCGAATCTTCCAAAACTTTGTGGGCCCATTAAAAATGATCTAATGAACAATAGTCATCGCTTCGCCATGACCATTTCTCGTTTTTTGGCATTTCACGGTCATAAAATAGGAATTCAAGTCGATTCCCAGATTTTTGTGTGCTATAGCCTACGCCATCTTCATGGGCCCGGGCGACCAGACCTGGATCGCCTAAATTTTGTCGGCCCATAAAAAATGACCTAAGGAACAATAGTCATCGCCTTGTCATGATTGTTTCTCGTTTTTTGGTATTTTAGGGCCATAGAACTGGAATTTCGCCCGATTTCCAGATTTTCGTGTGCTATAACCCATGCCATCTGCATGGGCCCGGGCGATCGGAACAATAGTCATAGACTCGCCATGATCGTTCCTCATTTTTTATCGTTTTAGGACTATAAAACTGGAATTTCGCCCGATTTCTAGATTTTCGTGTGCTATATGCACGGGCCTGGGCGACCGGACCCGGATAGCCTAAAATTTTGCTGGCTCATCAAAAACGACATATAAGGAAAAATAGTCATCGCCTCGACATAACCGCTCCTTATTTTTTGGCATTTTAGGGCTATAAAACTGGAATTTTCTCCGATTCGCAGATTTTTGTATGTTATATAGTTCACGCCATCTGCATGGGCCCGGACGACCGGACCCGGATTGCTAAAATTTTGTCGGCCATCCAAAACGACCTAAGGAACAAAGTCATCGCTTCGCCATGACCGTTACTCGTTATGTGGTTTCGCCTGATTCCCAGATTTTCGTGTGTTATAGCTCACGCCACCTGCATGGGCCCGTGCGCCAGGACTCGGATCGCCTGAAATTTTGTCGGCCTATAAAAACGACATAAGGAATAATAGTTACCGTCTAGCCATGACCGTTACTCGTTTTTTGGCATTTAAGGGCCACAAAACTGGATTTCGGCTGGATTCCTAGATCTTCATGTCTAGCCCACGCCTCCTGCATGGGCTCGGGCGTCAGGACCCAGATCGCCTAAAATTTAACCGACCTATCAAAAACGACCTAAGGAAAAATAGTCACCACCTCGCCATGATCGTTACACATTTTTTGGCATTTTAGGGCCATAAAACTGAAATTCCGCGTGATTACCAGATTTTCACGTGCTATAGCCCACGCCTCCTGCATGGGCCCAACACCGGACCCGGGTCGCCTAAATTTTGCCTCCCTATCAAAAACGACCTAAGGAACAATACTCACCGTCTTGTCATGACCGTTACTCGTGTTTTTGCATTTTATGGCCATAAAACTAGAATTCTGCCGATTCTCAGATTTTCGTGTGCTATAGCCTACGCCTTCTGCATAGGCCCGAGTGCCCGGACCCGGATCGCCTAAAATTTTGTCGGTCCATCAAAAACGACCTAATGAATAGTAGTCATCGCCTCACCATGACCGTTACTTATTTTTCGACATTTTAGGGCCATAATACTGGAATTCCGCCCATGTGCTATAGCCCACACCATTTGTATGGGCTCAAGAAATCAGACACGGATCGTCTAAAATTTTGCTGACCTATGAAAAATGATCTAAAGAACAATAGTCATTGTCTCACCATGACCGTTCCTCAGTTTTTAGCGTTTTAGGGTCATAAATTAAAATTTCGCCTGATTGCCAGATTTTCGTGTGCTATAGCCCAAGCCCATCTGCATGGATCGGGGCGACCGGATCCGGATCGCCTAAAATTTTGCTGGATCATCGAAAACGACCTAAGGAACAATAGTCATTGCCTCGCCATGACCATCCCTCATTTTTTGGCGGTTTGGGGCCATAAAACTGGAATTTCGCCTGATTCTCAGATTTTCGTATTTTATAACCCACACCATCTGTATGGGCCCAGTCGACCGGAGCCGGATGGCCTAAAATTTTGTCAGCCCATCAAAAACGACCTAATGAACAATAGTCATTGATTTGTCATGAGCATTTCTCGTTTTTTGGCATTTTAGGGCCATAAAATAAGAATTCAGGACGATTCTCAAATTTTCATGTGATATAGTCCACACCATCTGCATGAATTCAGGCGACCGGTTCCCAATCTCTTAAAATTTTATGGGCCCATAAAAATAATTTAATGAACAATAATCATTGCTTCGCCATGACCGTTCCTCATTTTTTGGCGTTTTAGAGCCATAAAACAAGAATTCGGGACAATTTTAAATTTTTCGTGTGCTAATATCCATGCCATCTTCATGAATTTAGGTGACGGGCTCTGAATTCCTAAAACTTTGTGGACCCATTAGAAATGATCTAACGAACAATAGTTATGGCTTCGCCATGACCAAACCTCATTTTTTAGCATTTTAGAGCCATAAAACAAGAATTCATGATGATTTTCAATTTTTCGTGTGCTAATGTCTACGCCGTTTTCATAAATTCGCGCGACGGGCTCCGAATCGCTTAAAATTTTATGGGCCTTTTTCGGATTTTTTATGGCGTTTCAGGGTCATGCAACACGAATTTGTGATTACATCCATTTTTTTATATGTATTAGTACATGTTAATTTTGTAGAATTATTTTGGTTGACTCCGATTAGACCGAAATTTTGTAGGTTCATAGCAAATGGTCTAGTAATCAATACTCATTGTTTTGCCATGACTAACGTTATTTTTTTTGCATTTCGGGTTTATTTTATCGCGTTTCCGGGTCTTGCAACACGAATTTGTGATAATATGCACTTTTTCGTGTGTATTAGTACAAGTTGATTCTGTAGAATTTTTTGATGGACTTTAATTGGCATGACATTTTGTAGGACCATAAGAAACGACCTAGTGACCAATATTTATTATTTTGCCATGACTTTCGGGTTCATTTTATGGTATTTCTGGGTCATGTAATACGAATTTATGATTATATTAATTTTTTCGTGTATATTTGTACATGCCGATTTTGTAAAAAAAATTGACAGACTTCAATAGGCTTAAAATTTTGTAGGTCTATAGAAAATGGCCTAGTGACGAATACTTATTGCTTCGCCATGACTTTCGGTTTCAGTTTATGGCGTTTCGGGGCAACATGAATTTGTAATTATATCCACTTTTTCGTATGTATTAATACATGTTGATTCTGTAGAATTTTGTTTACGGGATCTGATTGGCCTGAAATTTTATAGGACCATAGAAAATAGCCTAGTGACCAATACTTATTGCTTTGCCATGACTTCTGAGTTGATTTTATGGTCTTTCAGGGTCATGCAACATGAATTTGTGATTATATATATTTTTCGTATGTATTAGCACATGTTGATTTTGTAGAATACTTTTGACGGATTCAGATTGGCTTAAAATTTCGTACGTCCATAGAAAATGGCCTAGTGACCGATACTCATTGCTTTGCCATGATTTTGGGGTTCATTTTTATGGCGTTTCGTGGTCATTCAACACGAATATGCTGATTTTATAATATTTTTTTATACAGACTCCAATTGACCTGAATTCTTTTAGGTCCACAGGAAATGACGTGGGGATCAATACTCATGGCTTTTGAGTTTATTTTTTGATATTTTAGAATCATACAAGACGAATTTATCATTATATCTACTTTTTCGTGTGTATTAATTAAGCTAGAGTTTTGGGATCATATGCCCAGTGGATTTAAACCTTTTTGCATATGTCTCCATCTACCAAACATGTGATAGTATTTTGACTTGGAGCTTGAGACTCTAAAATGAATCTCAATCCCCCTTTTGTTTAACAATGATTAGTTGTCTCCGCCAATCTTTGCACGTGAAATAGCTAGACGATACTCTTATTAGCAACTTGTTTCTTGTGGATCTCTTTGGCTTTTATCTTTTAGCTTTTGGCCATCTAAAAAGGATATGCATATAAATTAGTGAGACTCCTGGATGGAGACAACTAGAGATAAAATGCTTAATAATCAATAAAGTGAGGAATTAGACTATCTTAATATCAGACATCTAAAACAAAAATTATGGAAGATTATTATTTTATAATTAATAAAGTGAGTGAAAATACTAAGTTTAAATCTTGAAAGGTACGACAAGACGCTAGGTAATTTCTTTTCATCATCCACTATTATTGTAAAAGATTAGTTCCATATCCACTATCAAAAATATATTGATTGTAATTTTGTACAGACAAGTCCTATAACTAATGTTGAAGCCATGCATAAAGTCAGGGATGCTCCATCATTCTCAATCAAAATCCAGCAAATTTCTATTAGAAAATACTTACAATTGTTTCCACTCATAATAAGAATCACAAAGAAATAAATAAATAATAATATTAACTCCTTTTCATTTGGGAATTTCTCCCTTCAAAACTACAAAAGCCTTGCATCCAACAACAAGAAAAATCTCCAACAAAAGCAAATCAATTGACAGCAAAATCATCAGGACTCAACATCAACCTTACAACAGGACAAAAAAAGAGAGTTCTAATAACAAAGAAATTAGTTAATATAACCTGATAAACAAACAGAGTTTCTGGACAAGAATAATGCAAATTTGTGTAATAGTATCAGTAGCTACTTAGTGAAAATCTATGTTACTCGGACTTTTCGAAAATGTCGCTGTATGCGTATCGGATCCTGCAAAAATAGTGTATTTCTTGAGGCTTCGACATAGATATGACAGCATTTTGGAAAGTTCGCACAACATTGGATGTGCTCCGGATCCTGTAAAGCATGGATGTGACAGCATTTTCGAGAGTCCGCACGACATAGGTGAAAATTAAATTAAGCAAGTCTCTCTAGCTGCTCACAGTCAACAAAGAAGGAATTGCAGCCAAATTAGGAGTAGCATTCTTATTATTTGAGTCTTCTCTTTTTCCACTTGATGATGTTTTACTAAAAGCTCTCATTGGACTTGCTAATGCCCAACCCCAATTCTTACTTCTTCCATTAGCAATATTATGAGATTTTCCATGCAAATTTTCTTCAGAAGAAACCAAATAAGATAATATGCCTCCACAATTGACTCTTTCTTTATGATTAACAGAGGAAAATCTTGGCTTTCCTTCTCTTTGTGATTCAATTCTTTTTAAAGTACAATCCCCAAAACCAGTTGAGATTTTCTCAAATAAATCACCAGAAAAACTTCTGCTTCCACAACCAACAGATCTGGATCTTGCTACCTTTCTGTCAAATGTTGACTCATTAGGACTCTCATTTTCCTCAACTGCTACAATTTCTTCCTTCTTTTTCTCCCTTGATTTTATGAATCCGTTTTGAGATGATCCTGTTGAAAAACATAATTAAGTAAATAAAAATGGATCACTCGTAATATATTTAATATTTAGATATGATCAACACACAGTTCAATATGATAACTAAAACAGATAAAAGTACTAGGTCAAGTCTAACCGTCATTGGCTCATGACAAAGAAATCAAACCACTCGTGAGCAGCAGCATGTTGAAGATTATACACTGATATACACATATTTTATGTGAATTTTAATTATTCAAAATATATAAACATCTCAAACATTTCAACAACTTTCGATAAAATGGTCACACATTTCAACATAGTGTCATAGCATACAGACACACGAGATGGCCTGGATTCAAGTCTCACCGCTATAGTTTTATAAAAAAGAAATTTTCACATGCTCGGCCATGAAAAAGAATCAACTCCAATGGTAAGATATACACAAGTAAATAAAAATTTACTGTCTCTAACATTTTTAATAGATAAGATAGTCTTTAAAGAGGATTAAGTTTCTTTACCTGTGGAAGAATAATGCTTTGAGGATGAGTAATGAAGAAATGACCAAAATCCTTTTCTCTGAATACCATAATCTTCAGCTTCCAAGAAATGCAAATGATTTCTAGGAGTTGTAGTAGACTTACTTCTCTTAATAAAAACAATACCAGAATCTGAACCAGAACTTGCCATATTACTACTATTCTTCTTCTTCTGACTCAACAAAAATTGCATTCTTGATTTCCTTATGTTATTCTCATATGGATGATAGTTAGTATTACAATCAGTGGTGTTTTTGTTATTTGTTGGGATTTGTAAAGCTGAAGTTGTAGTGGAAGTGGTGCCAAAATCAGATCTAAGAGAAGGAGTAGAAACAGAACAAGTAGAAGAAGGGAAAATGGTAGAGGAAAAAGAAGAAGAAACTAGTTTTCCTAGTTTTTCTTGAAGGCAAAATGCACAGATTCCACCTGGTGAACTGTTTTTATAAGGATGGTTTATACATTGTATATTTCCTTCACTTGTATCTTCTTGAACCCCTTCCATTACCATTTTTCCAGACCAAAAAATGAAGGGAAAAAAACACACTTGTTATATGCTTTAATTTCTAGCTTATATTTTGTTTGAGGAATGTGATGTTGAGGACCACTACTAGAGTTTATGTTAAATGGTTTGAGAAAATGAGAAGGATTTAAGATAGTGTAAGAAGAAAAGATGGAGAGAAAATGGAGAAGCAGTAAGCTTTGCAAATGGTCAAAGGGCAAAGGTGGTGTAAAGTGAGTGCAAAAAAATTAGAGAGTTTGTGGTATTGAAGTAAGGAGAAATTTGTTGTCCCTAGGAGCACGTGGAAACCTGACTAAGCTATACGTTGTGTAATTTAAAAATGGCTTTTTTTTTTAAATAGGTATTCCATGGTTATTGGTGTGACTAATCTGAATTTGTACCGTGTAAAGTCCATTAAAAAGAAATATTCTTTAACCTGTAGGGGTGATCGAGTTGGTTGAGCAGGAGGGAAGCGCAAGTTCAAACCCCCTTGCATGCTTTTTCGGTTGAACTCGTCGTACGCGACTTGTCTAGTACGGTTTACCTCTTCAATATGATTTGCGATATTGCACTGGAGCGGGACTTACCCATAACGTACTGGAGTGATAGCGGTTGTCGATTTCCTAATTTACACACACACAAAAAAAATGCTTCATATCAGGAATTTTTCAATTTTTTTACGACATGAAACTGTGATCTATAAATTCTAATTAATGATAGAATATCTCATTAATCTCATCACATTTTTTATAATACATATACATATTTTGTGTAATTATAATTTCAATATAGATGCATATATATGCTGTATAGAGAAAGAGAGACAGTATATTATACTTAATGGCCACACTTGTGCACCTCTTCTGATTTATCTCTACACACTATATTGTAAACTAGTATTAAATTAATCCAGTTTTATGAATAATAAGTATTACTAATACATATTTTTTTCTTCTCGAGATTCAAAAGAATACATTTCTTACAAGAATGTTCAATTTCTAGTTTTAAAATGCAAACTTCAACTTACATAGTACTTCTTAAGTTTTTTAAGTTTTAGGAAGGACATGACCTATGTTTATAATTTCAAAAGTTGGCTAAGTTAACACTTGAGAAGCTCAATATGGTTATCTTTTAAAAAAATATAAAATTATAACAAATTTTCAAATTAACCAGGTTAGAGCAAATTATAGCTATTGCTCAGAAATCACAAAGTTAACCAGGATTAAAGCAATAGCTATTAAGCTACACAAAGATAGAGAGAGAAAAGCATAACTAACCAATAAATTTATTTGCACAGATTTGTGTGCAGACCTACTTGTTTATCTGTGAAACTGCAGCCAGCAATGCAAGATTGAAAAAACAAAAGAATCTTTTACCAGAAAGTATTCGTCCAAATGTCCAAATTCCATAGAGACACAGCTGCATGCGGAGTTGCGGACTTACCATACCCCTCAACTTTGAAAAAAATCGGAGAGCCTTGGCGTAACTGGTAAGTTATTTTCATGTGATCGTGAGGTCACGGGGTAAGCCGTTGAAACAGCCTCTAATAGAAATGCAAGGGTAAGGCTGTGTACAATAGATAAAAGCCGAGAGCCTTGTCGTAACTGGTAAGGTTAGATGAAGCCGTGGAAACAGCCTCTTACATAAATGCAAAGGTAAGGCTCTGTGGATTAGATGAAGGCCGGGAGCCTTAGCGTAACTGGTAAAGTTATTTTTTCGTGACCGAGAGGTCACGAGTTCAAGCCGTGTAAACAGCCTTTTGCAGAAATGTAAAGGTAAAGCTGCATATAATAGACCCTTGTAGTCCGATACCTTCCCCAGACTCCGCGCATAACGAGAGCTTAGTGCACCGGGCTACCTTTTTTATGTATATATAAATAACAAGTATATATTTTGATTGAGATTTTAAAAATTAAATCTTAGACAACTGCATTGTTCAATTAAGGGGACACAACTTGATTTTTAATGCGCTCCTTGGGTTGGATCCGACTTTAGTATTTGCACAAATTTTGATTGTATAGTGTTGTCTCCGCCAATTTCACAAGTATAGAAGAGACCTGACAAAGGGATATAGCAGTGAGTAGAGCATATATGTTCATATTTTTCTCTGCAATATAATACCTACACTTTTCGTTAAGCCATATTAAAAAATATACTGTTCGAAATTGTTTAATTAATCTTCCATTTTATTTATAGTCCTTTCATATTCTTTCTATTAGTAAATTATTTTATATTTGTCCTTATTATTAATGAAATTCTACTGCATTTTTCGGGGTATAGCTCTTTTGAGTATCGAAAACAAAAACAAGACTTGTTTTTCGAGCGACGAAATAATATTAGACAATAGCCTAATAGAAGGCAAAAGTTTTTAATTTCAAATAGTGAAAAGGCAAATTTAAGCCTATATATGTAGTGACACTAGAAAGTGGCTAGTGTCTGCTATATATAGGGCAGGAGGAAGAGATGAAAGAGTTTGAACTTTGGAAATACGTGGTTTAAAGTACCTAATATTTTCTTTAAATATGAAGATTGATTTCTTAAGTTTTCAGACAAAATAAAAGTAATACGTATAACTTATAATTGTTAGGATTAAAATTGTTAATATTTGAAAAAATCTAGTTCAAGAAAAAACTATGTGATTCCATAAATAGCAATAGCATAAAAATATTGGTGAGAGCATATAATAACACTATGAAACCATAGGATCCCTTAATTATTTTTATTAATTGTAAATATTGTATACGTCTAAGACGACATATCCAACGTCTAGCGTTTTAGTTTACTATATGGTGTAATATGGCCATTAATTTGGCTTCTTCTTAAGTGGGGGCCAAATTTTCATGTCATTTGCCATGGCATAATATTCACTATAACAAAATTTGTGGATTATGACATTTGCCATGACATAATATCTACTATTAGGCCAAAGATTTCTTGCTATAAATAGAGGAGCTCCTCCTCATTTGTAAACACACCAATTCAAGAGCTTTTCACTCTTGTCTTTCTTTCTCCTCCTTTATTATAGAGTATTTTTGTAAGTGAGTGAGTGTTGGGAAACACTTGTGTGAACCCTTTCTTTAGAGTGATCTTGTGAGGTAATTCTCTTGGGGTATTTGAAAATTAGAGTATTTACTCTAATTTTGTACTCTCTTTTGTACTCTTGTTGGTATAGTAAAATTGCTCCTCTCCGCTTGTGGACGTAGGTCACCTTGACCGAACCACGTTAAATTTGTGTCTTCTTTATCTTCTTTAATTGTCGTTATTATCAACTTGCAGTATCTTTGTTATTGTCATTATAACATTCTTTGGCTAAAATTTGCACTACCGGTTTCCCGATCCTAACAAATTGGTATGAGAGTCAGATCTAACTGGGTTAGTTTAAATAGCCAAAATGACTCTAACAAAGTCTTATGTTGAGAAATTTGACCGAAGTGCAAACTTCAAAATGTGAAAATAAAAAATGGAAGCTATCCTAATTCAGGATGGCTTAGATTTGGCACTACAAGAAAAAAAGAAGATGTCGGATAAAATGACGGACGAGGAGTTTGACATCATAGACAAAAAAGCAAAAGCAGGTATTATTTTAAATCTTTCAAATGAGGTTTTGCGTGAAGTTGCAGCAGAAAGCTCAGCCAAAGGCATATGAGAAAAGCTTAAAACCCTATATATGAAAAGAACAGTAGAAAACAGGCTTTACCTAAAGCAAAAACTCTACAATTTTCGTATGGCTGAAGGTACCTCTGTATTTACACATCTTGATACTTTTGATTCTCTTCTTATGGATTTAAGTACCATAGATGTTGAACAATACACGTATAAATCATACTGACCAAAGAAGTAACCCCGAAGCAAATGGAGCGCACCAACACCTTCCACTGAGTTGATAGCCTATTTGGAGGACTCTCGACCTGTCTATCGGGACCTGCGAGCATGAAACACAGCATTCCCAGGCAAAGGGACGTCAGTATAAATAAAGTACCGAGTATGTAAGGCATGACACTAGTATATAAAAGACTTGAAAGAAACATAGAGTAAAGAACTCAACCTGAAATTCTGAATAGCTTTGTGAATCATAAAAATTTATAATGTCATTCATATGTGTATAAATACCATACCATGCATAGGTATATATGTACATAATATCATCAAGCCTCTGAAGGCATCCCATCATATCATCTCAGCCACTGTGGGCAAAATCATCAACGTATACCAGCTGATCAGGTGGTGGTGCGTATATAACGCCATAACCTCTTCCCACATCTTATATATATATAATATACGCGTATATAACGCATTCTGGTCATGGGTCAATGTACATGTATAAATGCATGAAATGCATAAGAAATACATTAATAAAATTTCTCGAATATCATAAAATCAATATGTCTTTCGGACAAACTTTATCAAATACGTATTTTTCTGAGACCCATGAACAGAGAATATAATAATAATTCACATGGGGAATCAAGAATATCGATATCCCTAGTATTTCTATGAATAGAGTCATTTATGAAAGTTGCGTATTTGCTCGTTTCGTTTGTATCGTACGGGTCATGCCAAAAGGAAAGGAGGGATAGCCTTAACATACCTTAACTCTGTTGAGTCCTTAATACCTTCCAAAAAGTTCTTCAAACAACTCAATCCAATCTACCACATCATAAGGAGATTCAAAGTCAGTGTTGAGTAAAGGCTAAGTCCTCAACTTAAACTAGTAGCTCGTTTACTTAAATTTGGACAGCATCTCCCCTGTAACTAGGCCCTCCTCCTCCAATACCATATACCAACAACAACAACAAGAAAATAAAAATAACATGTAGGCATCATTTTCCAACCTTATCTCCATCACAATATACCACAAAACTGCCCACTCACCATAATCACTTCATACATAAAACGACAACCAAAGTAGTGTCAAACAACTTTAAAAAATATAACGATGAACAACCAGCCCACTATTCCATCATTATGTGGTATTTCTCCAAACTATTTGTCCTCCAAAACTCTAATAAACAGTAAAAAAAAAATAGACAGCCCAAAGGCAACACGAAACAGCCCACAAAACAGTCCACTACAAGTCAAATAACTCGAACTCACGGTTTTCGATCACCGTCCCGTGAGTTCTAACTATTAGGAAACGAATTTATGAACTTTTCTTGATATTTTAAAGCTTAAATATGGAAATTAAGAATTTTTATTAACTATTAAATACATTCCAAAACT